ATAACGTTGGTTCTGATCAATACATTATCACGCATTTTCACTTCTGGTAAGTCCGACTTGAAAATGTGATTGTTCAAAGAGAACCATGACACTGATGCCTTCGAAGGATTGACATAGGCATTGGAACCATCACACCAGGCGGCAATTCGATCGAGTTCTTTGTGCATAGTGCTGGCGATCTCCTGTCTATCACGCCCTCGTCAATAAATAAAAATGTCATCAGCAAATGACAAAGTCCTTCCATTTCCATTCAACTGCTGCTCAGTGATCATCACCGTATAAACGTTGAATAAGACTGGTGATAGCGGTGATCCCTGTGGCAAGCCTGGACATATCGTTTGCGGTTCTGAGGACCAGCTACCACATCTTAGTACAATCTTTCTCTGGAACAGGACCGCAGCAATCCAGCGGATCAGAATATGATTGACTTCTAGTTTAAGCAGTAATTGCATTAAATAATCATATGGTACTTTATTGTAGGCATCTTCTAAGTCCAACACTGCCGCACATGTCTCTTCTTTAATCTGAAATCCCTCGTACACATCGTAGGCGAAAACAGCAGCATTGAACCATGTCTCTTTATTTAACCTGTACCCTCCAAGTGTTGATGGGAACTTATCATGTAGTTCCAAGTAGGTGGTCAATCTTTGTGCGACAATTTTTTCCAAAAGTTTGCCAACAGTATTCTGCATCGAGATGATTCTGTAGCCGCAGATCTTTGAGTGGTCTTTATTAGGCTTTGGTAGTGGGATACTTCCGTATCTAACTTATTCTGCATCATCGTTTCTCAACACACCGGAATTCTGCCTTCACAGATACTGGGTTCTGTTGTCGGCAGTTTCTGTCTAGTCGGACGGATGTCTGATGAAAAGGACGCACAACACCCTGTTACCACTTGTGTCTATTCTTCGACAGATTCTATTTTCCCAAGAGAACAAAACGGTTAAGCAATGTACTCAGCCTGACCCCCCCCCCCCCTTCCTTTTCCCCTTTATGTAAACATTTTTTTTTTGTTGAAAATTGTATAACTAGGATAGCGAGCGTCTGCGCAAATATAGGGATTAAACCAGTATACCGCCGTTTTAACTGAGTAGAGAGACGCATTCACTGAAACTTAGCATAAACATCCAGACACCTGTGAATGTACGTTCGCTATCACAACAGCACATCAATCACCCCGACCTAGTCAACAGCAGCAATCAATTCAGGGTCGTGAGTGGACTACAGACAGGACCAGGACGTGGAGCAGAGGGCAGATGTGGGCGAGGCTGCCTTTCCTCGGCACTAGGTAGGTAAGATTCATTAAAATATGTTGTCAATCACACTCACGGATGCACACCTGAGTGTCCAGTTAGACAGATGCACACCTATGTGTCCAGTTAGACGGATGCACACCTGTGTGTCCAGTTAGACGGATGCACACCTGTGTGTCCAGTTAGACGCATGCACACCTGTGTGTCCAGTTAGACAGATGCACACCTGTGTGTCCAGTTAGACAGATGCACACCTGTGTGTCCAGTTAGACGGATGCACACCCGTGTGTCCAGTTAGACGCATGCCTACTAGTTTGACGGTTGACGTAGTAATGTAATGACCATATCTGTCACTTGATCTTCGCATAGACTGAGTGAGCTAGAGGTAGATTTGTGAGCCTAGAAACGGGAAACATCTGGATGTATGCGCACTGGAGCCTGGAAACATGCACACACACGCACACACAAACATGCAAACTAACAATATTTGTGGCCCTGTAAATATCCATTCATCCACCCCACCCCCTCGCCACCCCACCCACTCACCACCCCACCCCATCGCCACCCACCCCTCGCCACCCCACCCCTTGCCACCCCACCCCTTGCCACCCCACCCAATCACCACCCCACCCACTCGCCACCCAACCCCTTGCCACCCCACCCACTTACCACCCCACCCACTCACCACCCCACCCTCGCTACCCACCCACTCGCCACCCCACCCACTCACCACCCCACCCCTCGCCACTCCAGCCACTCACCACCCCACCCACTCACCACCCCACCCCACCCCCACCCACTCACCACCCCACCGACTCCACCACCCCACCCACTCACCACCCCACCCCATCGCCACCCAACCCCTCGCCACCCCCCCCCCCGCCACTCCACCCCCTCTCTACCCGACCCAAAACCGTCCTAATAAACGATCACATAGATTACAGTCTCCTCCTCTTCCTCCTCCTACTTTCTTCTTCTTCTTCCTCTTTTGCTGTTGCTGCTATTTCATGTTGTTCGGCATTCTTGGCCATATATTTCCACAGCCTTCTGTCTCACATACCTTTACATTACACCTGTGTCTTGTCCAGCTAGACTGATACATACTAGTTTGATGGTTGACGTGGTCATCTACTGACCATATCTGCCACTTGGTCTTTACAGAACCGGAGTTAGCTAGGATTTGCATAATATCGTATATCATATCTTAATATCAATCATTTCACATGTTCTTCTGCGCCATGACGGTACACTGTCTGACATATTGATAAATGTATCCACTCTGTTTTACATTTATGTTTGGTAATTTGTTTTCATTGATAAACAAAAACAATTTATGTATGTTTTCCAAACTCCTAAATTTAATTTAGCTAACACATTCCAAATATTTTTAATCATACAAAGATAAATATTTGGTAAAGTATTTCTATCCTGTTTAGTACGGCTGTTTACCAACATGTTTGGCTCTTCGTGTGCAACATTCCTTGTCAGATCCTGACGTTCCTGATGCAAGAGCCGACTGGTTTGTAAGTTAATGGCTCTCCACAACCCATCTGACGTTTGCTTAACTAAACTTGCAGACAACACTGGTCAGAACAGTGGTTCTTCAACTGTCTTTGCACGAGGGGCATTTTGAGACAATTCAGATTCACAACAGTATGTCCTTGTTGAAAAATTAAACAGCGCGGCCACAATTTTATCACCTGTGCAATGTACTTTTGTGGCTGCATAATTTAAAATAGTTTATACTAGTTTTCACAAAAATGGTATATCTTTCGTCTTAAAAAAGGCCCCTTGAGCCATGACATTTCATGTTTATACTCTACAACGCAGCTTGACTATTCTAGAAAAGTTGTAGTAATTCACTTTATTACTATAATTCTCCAGTCTGTACTATAAGTAACAAAACCTTTCTGTTTTTCGTGTGTTCAGTATAAATTATGTTTCCTCCTCCCAAACCGTGATCAGTACACGGGTAAAATTTTTATTTGCGATTACGACTACACTGTTTAATTTAACAGTCACATTGGCGGCCCAGGTTACTGAGCATTTCTTTATTTATTTCGACAATCAGTAAAAGTAAACTTTCGCTGCATTTATATCTCTCTGAATATTTTTTCCCTTCCAACATCCAATACATTATTTTTTGTTTAAAATATTATCTTTCGTTGTTGTCTAAATTAAAACGAATTCTAAAAGATAGTGAGGTTAGAGGAGGTTGTATCTTTATCGACCAGATTAGGGTGACTGCCAACATATCAGACTATAACCCTGGGTCACTTCCCGAGTCACTGGTCCATCACACCGAAGGGGCGCTAAGGCGGGGGTTGTGCTAACTATGGAAAGAACTTATAGGGCGCTCCCACGTTCCCACCTCTGGCCGTGACTCAGGGTCAGGTTCACACAACCTGTAAACAAGTATTTACTGTAGACAATTCAGAGAATCACCAGACATGCAATGATATGGGACAATGATGACGGATTTAGGAAACGTGGGCGTCCAAGAGAAACTCAAAGAAAGAAAGTTCATGTTGTGCTGGCTCCTCCGTGGAGTTTCCACAACACACACAGCAGCTGTGTAGACCAAGATGAGAATACAACTTTCTTTCACTATCTCAGGCAAAGCCGGGAACTAGATTAAATCTAGTTTCTTATATGTTACAAAATAGCGGTGGACACTTATCGTGTCCTCGCTTTCCTAATTGTTATAAAACATGTAATATTGCTTGCGCGGATACCTCAGTTATAACTTCCTTGGAGGCTGAATGTCGGCTCTGTGGCTATATCGATGTGAACGCTTCGTAATGCCGGGGTACCGGGTTCGATCCCAGCTGCGGGCCATACACCATGCGTTGGTTTCGACAGTGGTATCAGGGAGCCGACCGTCCAGCAGCAATGGCAAATTACTGAACGTAAATTTGCCTAGTGAAACCACACAACAGCCAGGGGCTGATAGGGTTGGTTCTGCAACGTCCTGTAAAGGATACGCAGCTAACCTTTGGATTCGAGGCTGAATGGGGTATCTGGGATCTGATCTACAGGTCTGTCATTAAAACTGAGATGTTTCTTTATTAATCTCAGCATGGTAAACCGTTGAGTAGCAGCTTGGAGAGGAAAACCCCTTTCGTCAATGGAAGCAGCTTTTTGAGACGGATGGAACCAGTTGGGACTCACTGTAGTTGGGACATGTGTCGGCTAAAGTACATCTTTCACTTGACATCGTTTGCTGTCAGATGGCGAGAGCCACACCTTAAGCAGCAGAAGAAGGCTGAGAAATGATGTTTGTTTATTTTTTCAAAGACGCCCTTTCTCGGATGTCAGTCAAATATGCGTCGTTTATTGTACGGAGATGGATGAGAGGGCAAAGGTTGCGCATGCTGCAGCGGGGTATAAAAACTCGGAGACCTTAAACTGAAGACAACATTCTAGAAAGTCTACAGCGCATGTCGAGGCATTGAGAAGAATACGTAATCGGAACAAAACGAACAGTTGAATGAAGACATTTTAATCATACAATTATTGTTTGAGAACAAAGGTAATCATTATATGTTTAACAATCTTTTCGAGTGAAGCCCCGAAATAAAGGACGACTGAAACAACGACTGCTTAGGAGATTTCAAATAGGCAAACTAAAGTATCTAACTATCTGAGGCTATTCAAGGTGACGTCAACGTAACACAGGACAGTGTCCGCAGACAGACTGCAGGGAGACAGAAATACAAAGGCGAGTGTCTGAAGTCTGCTTTCAATATGGCAACCGTGACCACACAGGTAAGACATTTGGCTTACATTAATTATACTAGTTAAGAAATTTTTAAAAGCTATTTGTTTCAGAATTTAAATACTCAATTTCAAATTGATTTTTTGACTGTGATTCGAAATACCATAATAGGATGTATCAAATTGCTTGGGTTTTTGTTGAATGAGAAATGTACCTTACAGCATTACAATAGTGTGAGCTTGTTGAATGAGAAATGTACCTTACAGCATTACAATAGTGTGAGCTTGTTGGATGAGAAATGTACCTTACAGCATTACAATAGTGTGAGCTTGTTGAATGAGAACTTTACCTTACAGCATTACAATACTGTGAGCTTGTTGAATGAGAAATGTACCTTACAGCATTACAATAGTGTGAGCTTGTTGAATGAGAAATGTACCTTACAGCATTACAATAGTGTGAGCTTGTTGGATGAGAAATGTGCCTTACAGCATTACAATAGTGTGAGCTTGTTGAATGAGAAATGTACCTTACAGCATTACAATAGTGTGAGCTTGTTGGATGAGAAATGTACCTTACAGCATTACAATAGTGTGAGCTTGTTTCATGAGAAATTTACCTTACAGCATTACAATACTGTGAGCTTGTTGAATGAGAAATGTACCTTACAGCATTACAATAGTGTGAGCTTGTTTCATGAGAAATGTACCTTACAGCATTACAATAGTGTGAGCTTGTTTCATGAGAAATGTACCTTACAGCATTACAATAGTGTGAGCTTGTTGAATGAGAAATGTACCTTACAGCATTACAATACTGTGAGCTTGTTTCATGAGAAATGTACCTTACAGCATTACAATAGTGTGAGCTTGTTTAATGAGAAATGTACCTTACAGCATTACAATAGTGTGAGCTTGTTGGATGAGAAATGTACCTTACAGCATTACAATAGTGTGAGCTTGTTGAATGAGAAATGTACCTTACAGCATTACAATAGTGTGAGCTTGTTGAATGAGAAATGTGCCTTACAGCATTACAATAGTGTGAGCTTGTTGAATGAGAAATGTACCTTACAGCATTACAATAGTGTGAGCTTGTTGAATGAGAAATGTACCTTACAGCATTACAATAGTGTGAGCTTGTTGAATGAGAAATGTACCTTACAGCATTACAATACTGTGAGCTTGTTGAATGAGAACTTTACCTTACAGCATTACAATAGTGTGAGCTTGTTTCATGAGAAATGTACCTTACAGCATTACAATAGTGTGAGCTTGTTGAATGAGAAATGTACCTTACAGCATTACAATACTGTGAGCTTGTTTCATGAGAAATGTACCTTACAGCATTACAATAGTGTGAGCTTGTTGGATGAGAAATGTACCTTACAGCATTACAATAGTGTGAGCTTGTTGAATGAGAAATGTACCTTACAGCATTACAATAGTGTGAGCTTGTTGAATGAGAAATGTACCTTACAGCATTACAATAGTGTGAGCTTGTTGAATGAGAACTTTACCTTACAGCATTACAATACTGTGAGCTTGTTGAATGAGAACTTTACCTTACAGCATTACAATAGTGTGAGCTTGTTTCGTGAGAAATGTACCTTACAGCATTACAATAGTGTGAGCTTGTTTCATGAGAACTTTACCTTACAGCATTACAATAGTGTGAGCTTGTTGAATTCTCTAGCGGGAACAGGTAATGCTTATAATTTAGCCATTCAAATATTGTAGCTACATGCTCAATTATTTGATATTTAACATAAAATGTTTTTTAAAAGAAAAGCATTAATATAGGTTCACATAAAATGTTTTGAAAAGAAAAGCATTATTATAGATTCACATAAAATGTTTTGAAAAGAAAAGCATTATTATAGGTTCACATAAAATGTTTAAAAGAAAGCCTTTTTAGACTCATTATAAGGTGCTGTTCGAGCTTTCTCTGCTCGCTTTAGGGGATTGCATGGTTTCGAGGCATGGTGTCAGCCTTTAATGCAAGAGGCTCCGGGTTCAATCCCCGATAAGAGCTAGGATTTTTTCACGTGGACTTGGACTTCTAGTAATTCCCCCCTGATCTCTGTGTAGTGAGATCGGACGCCCGTGTGCATTTCTATACACGTAAAAAAAATCCCTTGGCAGCTGGAAATCGAAAAAAGTAGCCTAACGGCGCTGCCAGCGCAAAATTTGGAGTTACAAATCTACCCAAGGTATTTCAGGATCCTCGCCGGTGCTACAGAGCCTGTGCACTGTGCTGAGCCCCTTCTGACTCAGACTTGAGTTAAAAGTAGAACTGAGCACTTATGGGTTACTACCCGTGTGCCATGATGTTGATCCGTTGTTCAAACTTCACTGTGCTTGCTTCTTGTAGCCAGTCGATGAGGTGTCTCTTGTCACAGTCCAGCAGTTATCAGATAGCATTGAAGGCCTCCAACTGGCTTGGTACCTTGTTCCCATTGAAATGACCTGGTGAAATCGTTCACCATACTCGTCACCGACAGCTCCACAGTGTGACGTTGTGAAATCCAGATGAGAAATCAGAAACTGAGTTTTCAAAGACATGCTGCAGCCACGACTTCAAATGGAGATTTTCGAAAGTTGCATTGTAATTATCAAATCTGTTGATTGGAATGGACTCTTTGTCCTCAGTGGAAGAAGTGACGACGATTCTGGCACTTTGGGAACTAACTGGATAATCATCGCCATGTGATACGGGACTTATTGCAGAGGGGATTTTCTTTCTAGAGTCCTTTTTTTTTTTTTTTTTTTTTTTATTTGATATGCCTTTCTCCTTTAGGAAGATCATGCAAAAGTAACAATTGTTGAGATGTTCAGCGGACTCTCTCCAAATCATTGGGACAGCGAAAGACATAGCTGACCTTTTGCCTGTCAATCACAGTTTCAGAGTTGCTGTACACGTAATGCAGCATATGTGTGGTGCCCAACTCTTACCTTGATCTCCCATTCTGCAGCCAAAACACAAACCGTTCGCCTACCTAATGGCTTTCGTTACATTGCGTCGTTGTGACAGTAATGTCACCTCACCACATATATCATTATTAGCGCTGTTCACACAAGACTTAGGTGTTTCTAACTACGATATTTTCTATAATTACAAATGTACTTCACAGACCTTAAGAAAGAGAATAGGGGCTTTTGAGCTGAAATGCTATAGAAAGATTCTCAGAATATCTTGGACAAAGAAGAAGAGAAATATTGACATCTTAAAAGATCTGACATCAAGGAAGATTGGCTAATAAACAGCATCCTTTCTCGAAAGCTGAAATATTTTGGTCATATCAAGCGCCACGACAGATTGGAAAAAAATCATAGATGAAGGCATGGTACCAGGAAGGAGGGGCAGAGGCCGACCGACAAGAAGATGGGCACATGATATAAGTGACTCCTTGAGTGTGAAAGTACATGAGGCGGAAGAACTGGCAAGAGACCAAGTTTCTTTCAGGCAGACTGTGATGAGAGCCACGTTCTGCAAAGGACCTGCTACATGATGATGATGACAAATGTACTAATAAATGCCAATACCAAATCAGACATAAGATATGTATAAATACATGTGTTGTAATCATATGTAGATTTGCATCGTACATTTCGAGTTTTGTATTGCTAGTGAAGCAAAAAATGATGCGATCGCCCCCAACAGTTGTAGAATCTTGAAAACTAGAGTTAACCAACATTTTTTATTGTTATTTTTGTTTTCAACACATCAAAAGTAGATAAGATCTGCTATTTTTATGTCTGGTACATTGGGTTTTTGATAACTAGTGTTAAATGTTATCTTGGAGACATTCATGGACTGGGTGAGATACGTCTAATGTTTGGCAGTCTTCTACTTCTTCAATCATTCTGTCAGGAAACATATCAGGTGGCCAGAAAGCTCACTTGCAATCTCATATCTCCTCCTGAGAGGAAGAAGAAGAGAATGTTGCTACTTCTCAGATGATGTCCTTCTACAGAATGTTAAACTGTGTTCACCTGAGCGATCCAGCCAGAGGCTGTTGGGGTTGGTTCAAAAACAAGACATAAAGGTAGCGGTCGCTGCCATTGATCTCTCCCCCCCCCCTCCCCCGCCCCTTTTCCTGAATCTGCGAAAGGCACTGGAAGTGCCGATGAAGAAAACTGCACTGTAAGTGCTTGAGCCCCCTGAAGCCGCCGCACCGCCCCCCCCCCTTGCCCCAAAGTTGATTCTGTGTCGTGTCGCTCCTGCAGTGACAGATCCTGCCGCTTGGTCGGAAAACTGATTTATATTCCATTAAAACATGTTTGGGGCAATGTTGGTCGACTTACCTGACAAGGTCGCCAGGCTTGTTTTGCCGAGATTTCTCGACAGGTGAGAGGGTGGAGTTGCCTTTTAGGAGACAGGTCTTTTATCATTGTCGAGATTGTTGCAAGCTTACTTGTTTTTCTCTCATCTATTTAACACCCCCCCCCCCCCCCCAACCACACCCCGACCCTTTTTTTAAAGAAAACAATTTCCCACATTCACATTTACTCGCACACATGCACATATAGTATTCGGGATGACAGCAATAGACCCCCCCCCCCCCTCCCTCACCCCGGACCTGAATTCTAATTCAATTCAAGGCTGGAATAGTTAGGTTTGGGACAGGCCAGTGCGATCTCTGAGTACACATACACAGTAAACGACTTGGAAGAATCTGCCCCACGTGGAAGAGTCAGACTCAAGAGCATGTCCTGTAGGGCTGCCCTGACTTCTTCTTCTTTACTTCCTCTTTTACCGCTGTGGGTGTCGAGGGAGATATAAGGTTCTGTTTCTAGCTCTTCTGGCTGCCTCGACCATAGGCACATCGTGCTGTTGTAGAGTTTCTCTGATGTTATCCTTCCATCTTGTTCTTGGTCTACCCCGTGCTTTACGTCCTTCTTCCGTTTCCATGTATGCTTTGTATGGTATGGTGTCACAAGGCATTCTCTCTAAGTGGGCAAACCATTTCACTTGCTGTCTTTGTATGTAATCCAGAATTGGTTCTGTGCCGACTTGTTCTCTTAAGATCTCATTCCTGATCTTATCTCTTATGGTCACTCCTACAGCCCTTCTCAAACATCTCATTTCCGTGGTTACTAATTTTCTTTTATGGTTTGTTGTGAGTGACCATGTCTGACGCTGGTAGCACAGAGTTGGAATATATATGCTTTGAATAAGATGTCTCTTTGTGCTGATTGGGATTGTCTTATGCTGTAAGAGGGGTGCTAGCTGTCCCAATACTTGGTTTGCTTTACTGCATCTAATGTTAATTTCTTTATCCAATTTCCCATCTTCGGCAAATGTAGTTCCCAGATATTTAAACTCAGATGCCTGTTTAATGCCTTTGTATTCTATTGCTATGTTTAGATCTGTCTTCTTTTTTCCTATTGACATTACTTCTGTCTTTTCAGTGTTGATTCTCATATTATTTGTTTTACATTCTTCATTCATGGATGTTAGATGTTGTTGCAATTTCATGGCTGTATCTGCTATCAAGGCCTGGTCATCTGCAAAGAGTAATTCGTTGATCTTACTAAGATCTTCATTCATGGGCTTGGCATTCTTGCATATACTGTCGATGTAGGTGATAAACAGCAGTGGTGATAAGACACACCCCTGTCTTACTCCAGATGTCACTGTGAAAGGATGAGATGTTCCCTGATGTATTCTAACTACACTTCTACAATCCCTGCATAAACTTTTGCACACTTCGATGAGGTGTTCGCTTACTCCATATCTTGCCATTATTTTCCATAATAATTGTCTGTGGACTGTCAAATGCCTTCTCCTGGTCTACGAATGCCACAAATAAGTTCTTATTGTATTCAATGTTCTTTTCTATTAACTGTTTAAGTGTGAAGATTGCATCTGTGCAGCTTCTATTTCTCCTAAATCCCATCTGTTCTTCTGCCAGCTGTGGTTCTATCACTGGTCTCAGTCTTGTTTCTATTATCTTGGCATACATTTTGCCAACATGGCTTAAAAGAGAGATGCCTCGATATTGACCGCATTCTCGTTTGCTTCCTTTATTCTTCCACAATGGTATAACTATTGCATGTTGCCAATCAATAGGGGCCGTTTGTTGTACCCATGCTGCATTGAATATTCTGTGAAGCCATCTGATGCTGCTTTCACCTGCTGCTTGAATTATTTCTGTTGGTAATCTATCAGCTCCTGGTGCTTTATATTTGGGAGCCTGTTTAATCTCCCAGCAAAGGTTGACCATCTGGCCCAGCTCGGCCACAGGACAAGAGAAGCTGTGGGAGACGGGCGACGACCTCAGAAGCTTCGTCCTGTTGGTGTCACCCACCAGACTGAATCTTTAGCATAGCTGATGTCAAACGCATAAGATAAAACTATGCCAGCATTGGTGTCAGGCTTGCCAGTATATTAATCCTCTGAGCGGGGCGTCGTTGTGAAGATTATAGATAATCTGATTGTGGTGTAGCGGCTAGACACTCGCCTTTGGATCTGAACGTCGTGGGTTCGGGTATTGACGAATTCAAACTTGTTTGTTTGTTGAAAAATGACCTTTCTGCCCAGCCTTAAATGGGAAGCAGATACCGTCCTGGGAGATAAAGGTGGTTCCTTTCTCCCCAGCCTTAATTGGGAAGCAGATACAGTCCTAGGAGATGAAGGTGGTTTCTTTCTCCCCAGCCTTAATTGGGAAGCAGATACCGTCCTGGGAGATGAAGGTGGTTCCTTTCTCCCCAGCCTTAATTGGGAAGCAGATACCGTCCTGGGAGATGAAGGTGGTCGACATCGTGTTGATTGCATCCGCCACCGAGTGCGATTGGTATAAAACATAGGTATAGGCGGGGTCAAGGGTGAAAGAATGCCCTCAGGTCATTTTGAAGAATCCCAGTTGATTATTTTTCTTTTCCATATCAAGTCAAGTGGACAAGGGTACTTTACTTCCTAGGTGCCCATCAGTGTCTGTAGCCATTTGTCAAATGCAAAGTAATATAATCCGGTGTTTGTTGTTTTCTGTCTCCAGATTTGTTTGCTATTGTCGGCGGTGTACAGTCTGGTTTATTCCCAGCGTAAGTAGCTGCTCCTGTTTGTGTGTGTGTGTGTGTGTGTGTGTGTGAGTTTGCGTGAGACTCTTGTTTGTGTGTGTCTGTGAGTTTGTGTGAGGCTCTTGTCTGTGTGTGTCTGTGAGTTTGAGTAAGGCTCTTGTTTGTGTGTGTCTGTGAGAGTTTGAGTGAGACTCTTGTTTGTGTGTGTGTGTCTGTGAGTTTGTGTAAGGCTCTTGTTTGTGTGTGTGTGTCTGTGAGTTTAAGTGAGGCTCTTGTTTGTGTGTGTGTCTGTGAGTTTGTGTGAGGCTCTTGTTTGTGTGTCCGTCAGTAAGTTTGAGTGAGACTCTTGTTTGTGTGTGTCTGTGAGTTTGAGTGAGGCTCTTGTCTGTGTGTGTCTGTGAGTTTGAGTGAGACTCTTGTCTGTGTGTGTCTGTAAGTTTGAGTGAGACTCTTGTCTGTGTGTGTCTGTGAGTTTGAGTGAGGCTCTTGTCTGTGTGTGTCTGTGAGTTTGTGTGAGGCTCTTGTTTGTGTGTGTGTCTGTGAGTTTGTGTGAGGCTCTTGTTGTGTGTGTGTCTGTGAGTTTGTGTGAGGCTCTTGTTTGTGTGTGTGTCTGTGAGTTTGAGTGAGGCTCTGGTTTATGTGCGTCTGAGTTTTAGTGAGGCTTTTTTTGTGTGTGTCAGTGAGTTTGAGTCAGTGGCTGAGAAGGTGTTTACAGGATTAATAAAAGTATAGAAGACTAGATGAGTCGGTAAGTCGTGATATGAGTATGCAATTGAGTGAGAAAGGCTCAGTGTATGGGTGTGTAAAGTTGTGAGTGGATGAAGGATTGACGGAGGTGGGAAATAAGTGAGTGACTGAATCAGTATACTAAAAAAGGGAATAAAAGAGAGGCATAATTAGTAAGTGAGAGTGTCAGTCAGACTTCCAACACGCTATTGAGCTCACCTGTGATATCATATCAGTAGTTGTTATCACCTTTCCGTCTTTTTAAACGATAGTGTTGTATTCAGCTATAAAATGTCATGAAAGTCACAGTTCATGGCGAAACCAACGCAGGACAGGAATGAGACTGCTCCTCTTCCATAGCACAAAGACTGGTCAGTACTGTAGAAATCACGTGTTGCTACAGCCGCATAATCACACCCTCCACTGTTGATCTATAAAATATGATCCAGTCGTTAGTCGCCAGTCCAAGTTCAAATATTACGTCAGACGGGTAACCTCATAATCATACACAATATCCTTCACTCTTCCGTTTGAAAACTTGTGAAAATTTGTCAGTGCCAGTAAAATCTTAAAGTTTGCACACGCAAATGCATCTGATAGCTGTGAGATGTGCCAACACTAACGGCCCCAAACTAGAATTGTAGCTCACTTAGTCACGAGAGCCGGCATTGTACCCTTTAAGGTACACGCCCATTCAGAACGTAATCAGCCACCCGTAAATTTGGTGCAGTCAACAACGCACTGCGGCAACACGCTAAAACCATTCTACATGAAATCCACCATCCACAGTGTCGCACGAGGCCCTCTACCCAGTAGCTTGGCGATTCCTGTCCAGAACTGGGGCATTTGCATAGCAAAACCTTACTATGAACAAAAACACTTATCAGAGCGTCAGCACTAGGTTACCCTGTGGTGTTCAATGTATCATTTAATTTCTGTCTCATTCCTCCCCTTCTTTGAGTTCCCATCAACGCTTGTTTATTTATTTCTTCTCTACCTGCAGTTGCACAACCTATAGATCCCAACCTGGGCAATGCGTTCGGCCAACCATTCATTCCAGGTATGTACTTTCTTGTATCAAAGATCTAACAACCCGAATCCTTTGTGGTACCATAAGATCATGAAAAACATTCTCAGCACGAGGACATTGCTGATTTGCTTCCCTGGGTGTGGGCACCCTTGTCACGTGGAGAGAATGGGGTGTGGCTACCCTTGTCACGTGGAGAGAATGGGGTGTGGGCACCCTTGTCACGTGGAGAGAATGGGGTGTGGCTACCCTTGTCACGTGGAGAGAATGGGGTGTGGGCACCCTTGTCACGTGGAGAGAATGGGGTGTGGGCACCCTTGTCACGTGGAGAGAATAGGGTGTGGGCACCCTTGTCACGTGGAGAGAATGGGGTGTGGGCACCCTTGTCACGTGGAGAGAACGGGGTGTGGGCACCCTTGTCACGTGGAGAGAATGGGGTGTGGGCACCCTTGTCACTTGGAGAGAACGGGGTGTGGTGATAGAAGAATACAACCACTGTCCCCTAACTAGCATGCCGTAATTGACGAGTTTGCTGAAATCGGATGTGTTCGGCCGAAAGGAGCAGATATTTGCACCCTAACTGTAAACCCCAATACATATGTGCCAGCCGCACTTTAAAGTTAAAAGGAGAAGAAAAAACAATATTTCCTTCTATATGGCATGCTTGCCTGTCGGCCTAGTATTCATGTGTTCGAATCCCTTTCGAGGAGGGAATTTTCTCGCCAGTGACATGCGCTCCAAGAATGTCATCATCAGGTGCCTTGCTGACTGGAAGGATCGATCATGATTCTCCACAATCTGCGACCTGCCCCAGCGGTAACAGTTCATTCTGCTGCCTGTGATTGTATAGCAGAAAGACAGACCCCTGGGCACATACTACAGTACTGCCCTAACCTCTCAAAGCAAAGCCTGGATCTGGCCCAAGGGAGCCACATTACAAGAGAAGCTATGGGTGACCTGTGGCGACCTTAAACGCACAATCCTATTTGTGACCCAGACGGGACTCAGTGTTTAGCATGACTGATGTCGAACGCAGAAGAAGAACAGTTCGTGTGTTGACACCCCTCCATGCCATGACAAATTGTGTAAAGAATCTTCTCATCTCTCTTCCTCTGTCTCTCTTTCCTCAGATCTTTCCAGTGGTCACACGTTCCAGTTTGCCTCTTCTCATAACATGACCCAAAAAATGACCATCTCTTCCTGTTGTTTGTGATTATTTGTCTTCTAGCCTTCACCTCATTCAAAACCTCTGGGTTGCTCTTTTCTTTTGAGTCTTCCGAGGAATTCTAAGGACGTCTTTAAAAGAATGCGTATAATTCTTTGGACAGCCAACACATTTCTTCCAGATCAACACAGCATAAAATAGGCTAGCATAAATTGTGCACTAACAAACTGCGACAGCGAAGGGCAATGGTATGAATCACGGGCGACTCTATTTATCTGGAGAAGGCCTTGTATGAATCAACTTATGGCTGAGAATCAGCATCGTGGCCAGACTGTGACAACAGCAGGTCAGAAGGCTGGGGCCAGACTGAGAACAGCAGGTCAGAAGGCTGGGGCCAGACTGAGAACAGCAGGTCAGAAGGCTGGGGACAGACTGAGAACAGCAGGTCAGAAGGCTGGGGACAGACAATAGTGACATGCAGGCATCAAGGAAGGTACAAACAACCAACAACGAGCTGGTGACACCAGTCACTTACATACCCAATAATGGGATGCCAAAGAAGATAGGGAAAAGATTGGGAGAGAAAATATAAAAGGACTTGACAATCATAAGGTGTATGTCAGCTCTACAGAACAAATTGCAATTAGCAAGCAAAATACGTTTCAGTGATTAGCTTTCATAAGCGAAACATTGACAAGACAAGAAACAAAAGACCCACTGACTTTTTAATCCACTAGGACATCACACTGAGCAATAAAAAAAAACATGACACAAAGTGCCACCATTCGGATGAGGATCACAGGTGGAGAGGTCACAGAAACCCCGTCTAACCGTTTGGTTATATTAGGGCCACTGGCAACAACCAGGGAGGCGCTCCAAAATAACAAACTTTCGTCCTAGATGTGGCGGGTGAATTGTATTTTTTTTTTTTAAACAAAAGACAACACTCACACATATGAACTATTTCTGAAATGACTTCATTGCGGTTTGAAATGTTAGTTAAACAAATGAGACAAAGTTATAATAAACAATGTAATTGTATAAAGTATGTGCTACTTACCTGGACCGACCTGAATGTAATCAAAGGAAGACATGATACAGGTGTAACTCTAAATTAGAGAACGTGGATGGCAAAAGTGAAATCTGATCAGCAGCATGAAGAGTTAGAGTGAGGTTTCTTTAACTCTAGGGTAAAAGGTTCACCAACTCTGGGGTAAACGGTTCACCAACTCTAGGATAAACGGTTCACCAACTCTGGGGTAAACGGTTCACCAACTCTGGGGTGAGGGTTCACCAACTCTAGGGTGAGGGTTCACCAACTCTGGGGTGAGGGTTCACCAACTCTGGGATGAGGGTTCACCAACTCTAGGGTAAACGGTTCACCAACTCTGGGATGAGGGTTCACCAACTCTAGGGTTAGGGTTCACCAACTCTGGAGTGAGGGTTCACCGACTCTAGGGTGAGGGTTCACCGACTCTAGGGTGAGGGTTCACCGACTATAGGGTGAGGGTTCACCAACTCTGGGGTCAAGGGAGAAAACAAAATTAAAGAGATATGAACGTGAGTGGTTGTGTGGACGTACCTGCATGTCCACTGGGGGAATGTGCATTTGAAGACAGTGTTGACCTGTTAACTAGCTAACTAGCAAATTAACAAGCTAGACAGTTAACTAAAAATTAACCAAATCATAAACAGACAACCAATAGTTTCTTTGTTTGATAAGACCAGTCTTTCATGTGGAACAAACGCATGTGAAAACATCTGCCTAAAAAAAAAAAAAAACAAGACAGTTAAGCCTCTTATCTTAAACTATCAATAAAACTCGTCAATTGCCATAACAGAAAAAAAAGTCGGACATTCTAAAAGATGTGCACATCCTAGCTCGTGCATTGGCAGGGATTCTTATGGCGCAACAAGTGACCTGAAACCCATAGTGGACATGACAACGTCTCAGAGTGGACACTAGATTGTCTGGATCTTTCATGGACATGATAACGCATCAGAGTGGACACTAGGATGTCTGGATCATTTCTGGACATGATAACACATCAGAGTGGACACTAGGTTGTCTGGATCATTTCTGGACATGACAACGTCTCAGAGTGGACACTAGATTGTCTGGATCTTTCATGGACATGATAACACATCAGAGTGGACACTAGGAAGTCTGGATCTTTCATGGACATGATAACGCATCAGAGTGGACACTAGGTTGTCTGGATCATTTCTGGACATGATAACATATCAGAGTGGACACTAGGTTGTCTGGATCATTTTCAGAGTGGACACTAGGTTGTCTGGATCATTTCTGGACATGACAACGCATCAGAGTGGACACTAGGTTGTCTGGATCTTTCATGGACATGATAACACATCAGAGTGGACACTAGGTTGTCTGGATCATTTCTGGACATGACAACGCATCAGAGTGGACACTAGGTTGTCTGGATCTTTCATGGACATGACAACGCATCAGAGTGGACACTAGGTTGTCTGGATCTTTCATGGACATGACAACGCATCAGAGTGGACACTAGGATGTCTGGATCTTTCATGGACATGATAACACATCAGAGTGGACACTAGGTTGTCTGGATCATTTCTGGACATGATAACACATCAGAGTGGACACTAGGTTGTCTGGATCATTTCTGGACATGACAACGCATCAGAGTGGACACTAGGTTGTCTGGATCATTTCTGGACATCACAACGCATCAGAGTGGACACTAGGTTGTCTGGATCATTTCTGGACATGACAACGCATCAGAGTGGACACTAGGTTGTCTGGATCATTTCTGGACATCACAACGCATCAGAGTGGACACTAGGTTGTCTGGGTCTTCCCTGTGAGTTCTGATATGAGTGACGTGCTACATGATTATGCTACCCAGCTTCTTTACCAGACCACTTTTTATGTCATCGGTCTTTAAACTATAGTTGAGTTATGTGATTCTGGAGGTGACTTATAATCCCAGTACAGGCCCAGAAGTATAGGGTCAGGGAACAGTGTCTGTAGGTAAAGACCCTGTTGTTCGGGTCTTTCTAGCCCCTGTTTTACGGATCTTTCTAGTCCCTGTTATACTGGTCTTTCTAGTCCCTGTTATACGGATCTTTCTAGTCCCTGTTATACGGATCTTTCTAGTCCCTGTTATACGGATCTTTCTAGTCCCTGTTATACTGGTCTTTCTAGTCCCTGTTATACGGATCTTTCTAGTCCCTGTTATACAGATCTTTCTAGTCCCTGTTATACGGATCTTTCTAGTCCCTGTTATACGGATCTTTCTAGTCCCTGTTATACGGATCTTTCTAGTCCCTGTTATACAGATCTTTCTAGTCCCTGTTATACGGATCTTTCTAGTCCCTGTTATACGGATCTTTCTAGTCCCTGTTATACGGATCTTTCTAGTCCCTGTTATACGGATCTTTCTAGTCCCTGTTATACGGATCTTTCTAGTCCCTGTTATACTGGTCTTTCTAGTCCCTGTTATACTGGTCTTTCTAGTCCCTGTTATACTGGTCTTTCTAGTCCCTGTTATACTGGTGTTTCTAGTCCCTGTTGTACGGGTCTTTCTAGTCCCTGTTGTACGGGTCTTTCTAGCTTACCTGCGCTGTTCAACTGCCATTTTTCTTCAAGCCTCGTAGATCACTGCCCCGCTTTGAATAAACGTTCTCTATGTGGCCCAGTCTCATGCAGCAGCCTCCCAAATGTCAGGGTCTGTATTTAAGGCTCCAAGGGATGTCTCTAGCGTGTCTTTGGAGCGTTTTGCTTCTTCTGGCCGCCATGAGAGCGTCTTCCTCCAAGTATCTCACCATACAATATTTTTTTTTGGAACCGAAGATCTGACAAACTGACGATGTCACCTACCCATCGAATCTGGGACCACTAAGGATGGTATCGATGCTAAGAATTCCAGCTGTATCCAGTAAGACAGCATCCGCAGCCCTGCCATGCTACAATGTTAAATATTTTTCTAATTCCTGTATGGAAGTGGCTAATCTACTTCGCCTGACGTTTGTCTACAGTCCATGCTTCACAAGCAGGCGGGTTGTATGCGCTCTTATAACTTGAAGACAATATCTACATTATGATTATTTGTCGTCGGCATTACTATTAATATCATATTAATAAGTAAATCGGGAGTTGCCGTGGCAAGGCGCTTGTCGCGGAGCTGGACTTTTTTCAGAAATGACCTTGGCTTCCAGGTCAACACCGCCCTGAGTGAGTACGGAGTGCAGTCCCGAGAAGTAAAGGCGACCGGTGTGATGCTGACCACATGTTCCATCTTGTGCCGATTGATCTATAAAAATATAGGTCTAGCCCTATACGCCCTATAAGCTAAAGACGTGAACAAGAGTCCTTTACTTAAAAAAATTTTTTTTTTAACAGTAATTCTATAAAATGGAGATTTACAAAATTTGATTTGTGTAACTTTGCAGGTGGGGGTTTTGATCCTAACTTCATCCCCAACGCTGGACTATTCCCAACTGATCCAAACGCTTTCCCCAACACGGGCAACCCTGGCTTTCCCGGCACTTTCCCCAACACGGGCAACCCTGGCTTTCCCGGCACATTCCCAAGTCAACCGGCGCCACTTCCTCGACCAAGTAAGTTGAAGTACTGTAGCACAGGTAGCAGAAACTGACATGTGAAGTACTGTAGTAGAGGTAGCAGAAACTGACATGTGAAGTGCTGTAGCAGAGGTGGCAGAAACTGACATGTGAAGTACTGTAGCAGAGGTAGCAGAAACTGACATGTGAAGTGCTGTAGCAGAGGTGGCAGAAACTGACATGTGAAGTACTGTAGCCATGTAGCAGAAACTGACATGTGAAGTACTGTAGCAGAGGTAGCAGAAACTTATATGTGAAGTACTGTAGAACAGCTAGCAGAAACTGACATGTGAAGTACTGTAGAACAGGTAGCAGAAACATACATCTGAAGTACTGTAGCACAGGTAGCAGAAACTGACATGTGAAGTACTGTAGAACAGGTAGCAGAAACTGACATGTGAAGTACTGTAGCACCGGTAGCAGAAACTGATATGTGAAGTTCTGTAGCAGAGGTAGCAGAAACTGACATGTAAAGTGTTGTAGTAGAGGTAGCAGAAATTGACATGAGAAGTACTGTAGAACAGGTAGCAGAAACTGACATGTGAAGTACTGTAGCACAGGTAGCAGAAACTGACATGTGAAGTTCTGTAGCAGAGGTAGCAGAAACTGACATGTAAAGTGCTGTAGAAGAGGTAGCAGAAATTGACATGTGAAGTACTGTAGAACAGGTAGCAGAAACTGACATGTGAAGTACTGTAGCAGAGGTAGCAGAAACTTACATGTGAAGTACTGTAGCACCGGTAGCAGAAACTGATATGTGAAGTTCTGTAGCAGAGGTAGCAGAAACTGACATGTAAAGTGTTGTAGTAGAGGTAGCAGAAATTGACATGAGAAGTACTGTAGAAGAGGTAGCAGAAATTGACATGTGAAGTACTGTAGAACAGGTAGCAGAAACTGACATGTGAAGTACTGTAGCAGAGGTAGCAGAAACTTACATGTGACGTACTGTAGCCATGTAGCAGAAACTGATATGTGAAGTACTGTAGCAGAGGTAGCAATAACTTACATGTGAAGTACTGTAGAATAGCTAGCAGAAACTGACATGTGAAGTACTGTAGCAGAGGTAGATAAAACTGTCATGAAGCAAGCAATATTGATTTTTTCCCATCTCTCTTTCTCTACCTCTCTTTCTCTCTATGTCTTGTCTCTTCTTATTCGTCTGTGCTGCAGCACAGGTAGCAGAAACTGACATGTGAAGTGCTGTAGTAGAGGTAGCAGAAACTGACATGTGAAGTGCTTTAGTAGAGGTAGCAGAAACTGACATGTGAAGTGCTGTAGCAGAGGTAGCAGAAACTGACATGCGAAGTGCTGTAGTAGAGGTAGCAGAAACTGACATGTGAAGTGCTGTAGTAGAGGTAGCAGAAACTGACATGTGAAGTGCTGTAGTAGAGGTAGCAGAAACTGACATGTGAAGTACTGTAGTAGAGGTAGCAGAAACTGACATGTGGAGTACTGTAGCAGAGGTAGCAGAAAGTGACACGTGAAGTACTGTAGCCGTTTAGCTGAAACTGATATGTGAAGTACTGTAGCAGAGGTAGCAATAACTTACATGTGAAGTACTGTAGAACAGCTAGCAGAAACTAACATGTGAAGTACTGTAGCAGAGGTAGATAAAACTGTCATAAAGCAAGCAATATTGATTTTTTTTCCCATCTCTCTTTCTCTACCTCTCTTTCTCTCTATGTCTTGTCTCTTCTTATTCGTCTGTCACTATATCTCTCACTCTCAATCTATCTCACTTTCTGTTCCTTCTCTCTCTTTTTCTGTCTATCTGCCTCGCTCTGTCTATTTCTCTGTCTCTCTTTCACTCTCTTTCTGTCTCCTTTACTTTCTCTGTCTCTTTCTCTTTCTCTCTCCTTTCTCTTTTTCTGTCTCTCTCTCTATCTCTCTCTTTCTCTGTCTCTCTTTCTCTCTCTCTCTCTCTCTCTCTCTCTCTCTCTCTCTCTCTCTCTCTCTCTCTCTCTCTCTCTCTCTCGGCTTGTATGTGTGTGTGTCTATGTATGGTCGCCTTAGATCTGCACACGTTCAGGGTTCTGGTAGATTGACGGAGATATCTCGGCATAGATTCATCATCATCAGGTGCTCTGTCAGTTACCACAAGCTTACACATATTTCAAACCATCTCTAGAATAATAAATCAAGTCAGTGGTTTTGTTTCTCCCAGTCCGTGGGGCTTACCCATCCATACAGTATTTCTGTGTCTTTGAAAGCCTCAGATATGGTCTGTCCCCTCCAGACTGCATTCTGTGGGACTTTTGTGAAACAGATGGCAGATTAGATTTCAAAACTCAAGATCTCTGTGTTCGCTGATTAATACAGTATTTGAGGCATACATGGCAACCAACATATACACACACAACATAGTAAAACACAGACACCTCACAACATAGACAAGCACAAACAAAAACAAACACACACACACAGTATAGACTAGCACGCAAACAACATAGTCAAAAACACACAAATAACATTGCCAACCACACACATACATACTTGCACACACATACATACTTCCATACACACACACACACACACACACACACACACACACACACACACACACACTGGCTGAATGCCTCTGGTTTGGGGACAATAGAAGTGGTTATATCCTCCGTGTCATTAGTTTTTGATTCATTGCATTTCTTCGAATACGTTTCATCAAGGGACTGTACTTTTTTTTTTCAGATCCTATGCAGAGTTTACTCCCTTTATTGTAAGTAGACATTCTCAATGACCTTCACAATTATTAAATTGCATGCATTACTACCTATCCATGCACCCTTCCATCATTCCCTCCTTCCATCCATCCATCCATCCATCTATCCATCAATCCATCCACCCATCCATCCATCAGTCCACCCACCTACCTATCCATCCATAAAACCATCATTTCATCCTTCCATCCATCTATCCATCAATCCATCCATCCATCAATCCACTCACCTACCTATCCATCCATCCAAACATCATTCCATCCTTCCATCTATACAAGCATCCAACCATCTATCTATACGACCATCCATCCATCTACACAACTATCCATCCATCCATCCATCTATACGACCATCCATCCATCTAGACATCTATCCATCCATCTATCTTTCTATCTATACTACATCCATCCATCAATCCATCCATCCTATACAACCATCCATCAATACATCAGTCACTTCATTCATCCATATATCCATCCATACATACATACATCCATACATACATACATACATACATACATACATACATACATACATACATACATACATACATACATACATACATACATACATACATACATACATACATACATACATACATACATACATACATACATACATACATACATACATACATACATACATACATACATACATACATACATACATACATACATACATACATACATACATACATACATACATACATACATACATACATACATACATACATACATACATACATACATACATACATACATACATACATACTACATACATACATCATACATACATACATACATACATACATACATACATACATACATACATACATACATACATACATACATACATACATACATACATACATACATACATACATACATACAATACATACATACATACATACATACATACATACATACATACATACATACATACATACATACATACATACATACATACATACATACATACATACATACATACATACATACATACATACATACATACATACATACATACATACATACATACATACATACATACATACATACATACATACATACATACATACATACATACATACATACATACATACATACATACATACATACATACATACATACATACATACATACATACATACATACATACATACATACATACATACATACATACATACATACATACATACATACATACATACATACATACATACATACATACATACATACATACATACATACATACATACATACATACATACATACATACATACATACATACATACATACATACATACATACATACATACATACATACATACATACATACATACATACATACATACATACATACATACATACATACAGACATACATACATACATACATACATACATACATACATACATACATACAGACATACATACATACATACATACATACATACATACATACATACATACATACATACATACATACATACATACATACATACATACATACATACATACATACGTATACATACATACATACATACATACATACATACATACATACATACATACATACATACATACATACATACATACATACATACATACATACATACATACATACATACATACATACATACATACATACATACATACATACATACATACATACATACATACATACATACATACATACATACATACATACATACATACATACATACATACTACATACATACATACATACTACATACATACATACATACAGACATACATACATACATACATACATACATACATACATACATACATACATACATACATACATACATACATACATACATACATACATACATACATACATACATACATACATACATACATACATACAACAACATACATACATACATACATACATACATACATACATACATACATACATACATACATACATACATACATACATACATACATACATACATACATACATACATACATACATACATACATACATACATACATACATACATACATACATACATACATACATACATACATACATACATACATACATACATACATACATACATACATACATACATACATACATACATACATACATACATACATACATACATACATACATACATACATACATACATACATACATACATACATACATACATACATACATACATACATACATACATACATACATACATACATACATACATACATACATACATACATACATACATACATACATACATACATACATACATACATACTACATACATACATACATACATACATACATACATACATACATACATACATACATACATACATACATACATACATACATCATACATACATACATACATACATACATACATACATACATACATACATACATACATACATACATACATACATACATACATACATACATACATACATACTACATACATACATACATACATACATACATACATACATACATACATACATACATACATACATACATACATACATACATACATACATACTACATACATACATACATACATACATACATACATACATACATACATACATACATACATACATACATACATACATACAGACATACATACATACATACATACATACATACATACATACATACATACATACATACATACATACATACATACATACATACATACATACATACATACATACATACATACATACATACATACAATACATACATACATACATACATACATACATACATACATACATACATACATACATACATACATACATACATACATACATACATACATACATACATACATACATACATACATACATACATACATACATACATACATACATACATACATACATACATACATACATACATACATACATACATACATACATACATACATACATACATACATACATACATACATACATACATACATACATACATACATACATACATACAATACATACATACATACATACATACATACATACATACATACATACATACATACATACATACATACATACATACATACATACATACATACATACATACATACATACATACATACATACATATTAATAAATATTTACTGTCCCTTTCTCTTTCCAACCATTTCCCCCCAGTTTACTCAGAGGCGGAGGAGATATGGCTCAGATGTTTGCTCTGTCTTCCATGATGGGAGGTGGCGGCGGGTTTGGTGCCGGCGGAATTAACCCACTTATGCTCATGATGCTGGGCGGCATGTAATCAGCATACCTCGAACTTCCGGCATCACAAAATCTGTCTATGGACTTGTGCCAGACGTCATGCAGGCATGGATGTCTGTAGATCGATTTCAAGATGTTATTACTGTGATTTGTTTTCTTTTTGGTGATTAATAACATGTGAATACAGCGACACCGAACATTTTATACTTTTAATACATGTGCCTATTTCGAAAATAGTAACTTCTGGTGTTTTTACACTTATTTGTGTGGTTCCCCCCCCCCCCCCCAAACCTTTTTTTTTTTGGTAGTCTTCATTCTTCTTCTTCTACTCAATCACCACCACGTCTTCCGCATTCTGCCCTTACGTTACTTTTTAATATGTCTTTTTTGTTGTTGCCTGTGTTGTTGTTGTTGCCGTTGTTTTCGTTGTTGCTGTTGTTGTTGTTGCCGTTGTTGTTGTTGTTGCTGCCGTTGGTATTATTGCCGTTGTTGTAGTTGTTGCTGTTGATACCGTTGTTGTTGTTGTTGTTGTTGCCGTTATTGTTGTTGTTGTTGCCGTTGTTGTAGTTGTTGCTGTTGATGCCGTTGTTGTTGTTGTTGCCGTTGTTGTAGTTGCCGTTGTTGTTGTTGTTGTTATTGTTGTTGTTGTTGTTGTTGTTGTTGTTGTTCTTCTTCTTCTTCTTCTTCTTCTTCTTCTTCTTCTTCTTCTTCTTCTTCTTCTTCTTCTTCTTCTTCTTCTTCTTCTTCTTCTTCTTCTTCTTCTTCTTCTTCTTCTTCTTCTTCTTCTTCTTCTTCTTCTTCTTCTTCTTCTTCTTCTTCTTCTGCTTCTTTTTCTTCTCATCATGATTATCTTCATCATCACCATCATCTACTATTGCTGCAGTACCCTGGGGTTTAAGCATGTCGAACACCACGCATTGAGCGCACGCACTCAGGCTGCTGTGTTGAGCACACGCACTCAGGCTGCTGTGTTGAGCACACGCAGTCATGCTGCAGTAACCTGGGGTTTAGAAATGTCCAGCACCACGCACTCAGTCTGCATAAACTGAAGGTTTTGTTATGCTAAGCTCCCCAAACTCAGCCTGCAGTAACCTTGGGGCTTGTTGTGTTGAACACCACGCCCTCAGCCTGCAGTAACCTGGGGCTTGTTGTGTTGAACACCACGCCCTCAGCCTGCAGTAACCTTGGAGCTTGTTATGTTGAACACCACACCCTCAGCCTGCAGTAACCTTGGGGTTTGTTGTGTTGATCACCACGCACTCAGCCTGCAGTAACCTGGGGTTCTGCTTTGTTGAGCACTACACACCCAGGCTGAAGTAACTGATGCGTTTGTTATGTTCAACACCACGCACTCAGCCTGCAGTAACCTGTGGTTCTGTTATGTTAAGCACCACGCCCTCAGCCTGCAGTAACCTTGGGGTTTGTTAGGTTGAGCACCACGCACTCTATCTGCAGTAACCTGGGGTTTTAGTTTTGTTGAGCACCACGCACTCTATCTGCAGTAACCTGGGGTTTTAGTTTTGTTGAGCACCACGCATTCTATCTGCAGTAACCTGGGGTTTTAGTTTTGTTGAGCACCACGCACTCTATCTGCAGTAACCTGGGGTTTTAGTTTTGTTGAGCATCAGGCACAGAAGCTGCAGTAATTTGGGGGTTTTGTTATGTGGAGCACCAAGCACTTAAGCTGCAGTAAACTTTGGTTTGTTATGTTGAACTCTACACACTCAGTCTGCAGTACCCTGGGATTTGTTATGTTGAACGCTACACACTCAGTCTGCAGTACCCTGTGGTTTGTGATGTTGAGCACCGAGCACTCAAGCTACAGTAACCCGGGTTTGGTTATTTTGAGCACTACGCACTCAAGCTGCAGTAACCTGGGGTTTTGTTATGTTGAGCACTACGCACTCAAGCTACAGTAACCTGGGGTTTTGTTATGTTCATCACCACGCACCCAAGCTACAGTAACCTGGGGTTTTGTTATGTTCATCACCACGCACCCAAGCTACAGTAACCTGGGGTTTTGTTTTGTTCATCACCACGCACCCAAGCTACAGTAACCTGGGGTTTTGTTATGTTCATCACCACGCACCCAAGCTACAGTAACCTGGGGTTTTGTTATGTTCATCACCACGCACCCAAGCTACAGTAACCTGGGGTTTTGTTATGTTCATCACCACGCACCCAAGCTACAGTAACCTGGGGTTTTGTTATGTTCATCACCACGCACTCAAGCTACAGTAACCTGGGGTTTTGTTATGTTGAGCACTACGCACTCAGCCTAGGGTGTGTGTGTGTGTGTGTGTGTGTGTGTGTGTATGAGAGAGATTGTGTTCCTGTGGTTCTACCTCATATACAGTTTCATTGTCTACCTGATGATGTAACCTGTGGTCCAGCGTGGATGGGTCTAGAAAAGTAACTTATATTCCAGCGTGGATGGGTCTAGAAAAGTAACTTATATTCAAGTGTTGGTGGGTCTAATAAAGTAACTTATGTTCCAGTGTTGGTGGGTCTGATAAAGTAACTTATGTTCCAGTGTTGGTGGGTCTGAAAAAGTAACTTATGTTCCAGTGTTGGTGGGTCTGATAAAGTAACTTATGTTCCAGTGTTGGTGGGTCTGATAAAGTAACTTATGTTCCAGTGTTGGTGGGTCTGATAAAGTAACTTATGTTCCAGTGTTGGTGGGTCTAATAAAGTAACTTATGTTCCAGTGTTGGTGGGTCTAATAAAGTAACTTATGTTCCAGTGTTGGTGGTCTGATAAAGTAACTTATGTTCCAGTGTTGGTGGGTCTGATAAAGTAACTTATGTTCCAGTGTTGGTGGGTCTGATAAAGTAACTTATGTTCCAGTGTTGGTGGGTCTGATAAAGTAACTTATGTTCCAGTGTTGGTGGGTCTAATAAAGTAACTTATGTTCCAGTGTTGGTGGGTCTAATAAAGTAACTTATGTTCCAGTGTTGGTGGGTCTGATAAAGTAACATGTTCCAGTGTTGGTGGGTCAGATAAAGTAACGTATGTTCCAGTGTTGGTGGGTCTAATAAAGTAACTTATGTTCCAGTGTTGGTGGGTCTAATAAAGTAACTTATGTTCCAGTGTTGGTGGGTCTGATAAAGTAACTTATGTTCCAGTGTAGGTGGGTCAGATAAAGCAACTTATGTTCCAGTGTTGGTGGGTCTAATAAAGTAACTTATGTTCTAGTGTTGGTGGGTCTGATAAAGTAACTTATGTTCCAGTGTTGGTGGGTCTAATAAAGTAACTTATGTTCCAGTGTTGGTGGGTCTGATAAAGTAACATGTTCCAGTGTTGGTGGGTCAGATAAAGTAACGTATGTTCCAGTGTTGGTGGGTCTGATAAAGTAACGTATGTTCCAGTGTTGGTGAGTCTGATAAAGTAACTTGTAGTCCAGTGTTGGTGGGTCAGATAAAGCAACTTATGTTCCAGTGTTGGTGGGTCTAATAAAGTAACTTATGTTCTAGTGTTGGTGGGTCTGATAAAGTAACTTATGTTCCAGTGTTGGTGGGTCTAATAAAGTAACTTATGTTCCAGTGTTGGTGGGTCTGATAAAGTAACATGTTCCAGTGTTGGTGGGTCAGATAAAGTAACGTATGTTCCAGTGTTGGTGGGTCTGATAAAGTAACTTATGTTCCAGTGTTGGTGGGTCTAATAAAGTAACTTATGTTCCAGTGTTGGTGGGTCTGATAAAGTAACATGTTCCAGTGTTGGTGGGTCAGATAAAGTAACGTATGTTCCAGTGTTGGTGGGTCTGATAAAGTAACGTATGTTCCAGTGTTGGTGGGTCTAATAAAGTAACTTATGTTCCAGTGTTGGTGGGTCTGATAAAGTAACATGTTCCAGTGTTGGTGGGTCAGATAAAGTAACGTATGTTCCAGTGTTGGTGGGTCTGATAAAGTAACGTATGTTCCAGTGTTGGTGAGTCTGATAAAGTAACTTGTAGTCCAGTGTCTTGTGTGTTGCTGGTTTGCTTGTCGTGTTTTAGTTCCAAATAGGTATGCAGATGTTACGTGGCAAGGGGAACAAGTCATGTTTTAGATGAGCAATGGGGCATAACCAAGTAACACCAATCTCGAAATTTGTCAAAGAAAAAACGTTATGTCTGGGAAAATCTAAATCATGGGTGCTCCAACCACACAGTCAGAAGAGGTTTGGAAGCACTCAAGACTCACTTTTTTTGGAACGTGATGATAATTTATAAACCTGGTAGATGTTTGACGTCTTAAAATAGGAAAAATTCAAAATTATTTTTTAAGCATCATTAAACACAAACTGTCTCCAGGACGCAATTTTTTTAAATCATCCTGAATCGCTATGCCGGTTGTTGTCGGGCTTTAAAATAACCTAATGGTTGAAGGGGGGTTTCGGGAAGTTGTGTGATTCTCGTCTGGTTGGGGGCACTTTGTGTCACCGGTGTTTGTCACTCCTTGTGCGGTCCTAGTGGGGCTGCACTCCTGCAAGTGTTGGACACCTCAGGGCCATCACCTACCAACCTTGGACTGCAGAATACTCCGTATCTGCTGGGCTTTGAATCCTGGATCTTTTCATTGTTAGGCAGGTGCTACTATTATTGGATACTCAATCTTTCGGCATTCCGTTCGTAATTACTGGGAAATTGTTGCAGATCAGCACGTAGTCTTGGCAGAGAGCGCAAGGGTCGGCGTCTTTAAGGAGGTAGAACATCTTCATCAGTGGTTTCCAAACTGGCGGAGGGGGAGGGTGCACCCCCTAGGGGGCGCAAACAGGTGTCGGTGGCGGCGTCCAGCTATTTTTAAAGTCGGTGCATTTGTACTTGTAATAATACGTTATAATTACATTTTGTTTTAATTTAATTAAAAATGAAATATTTATTTGAACTATTTTTTAAACACAACGCAAAGAAATTTTTTTATTTCATAAGCAGTTTGTACATATACCTTAAAAATATGTTTAATATGTTAACATCCTTAGTTAATTATAGATTCGGAACACATTCTGACCAAAACTCTCTCCACACTTTATGCTTATCTTGTTGTGGAATCTACCGTTCAC